CATCTTGAGACTGTTCCGGAACATGGCGATGCCGTCCCGCCGGCTCCGGGGCAAACCCTGCGGGGAGCACAACGGCAAAGTCAGCGCTCAAATTCCGACTGCTGGGAGAGTGATGGAGAGGAAAAAAGGAGCTAAAAACCAAGGTGAAACGGTGAAAAAATTAAAATTAAAAAATTAAAATTGAAAATTAAAATTGAAAAATTAAAATTGAAAAATTAAAATTGAAAAATTAGAATTGAAAAATTAAAATTGAAAAATTCAAATTGAAAAATTAAAAAGCACCGCTACATTTTTACACAATGCAGTGTCGCTGTTAAAGAAGAGCTAAAACCAAGGTGAAATGATGAAAAATTAAAATTGAAAAATTAAAATTGAAAAATTAAAATTGAAAAATTAAAATGAAAAAATTAAAATTGAAAAATTAAAATTGAAAAATTAAAACGCACCACTACATTTTTACAGAATGTAGTGTGTATTAAAGAAGAGCTAAAACCAAGGTGAAATGATGAAAAATTAAAATGAAAAAATTACAATTGAAAAATTAAAATTGAAAACTTAAAACGCACAACTGCATTTTTACAGAATGTAGCGTGTATTAAAGAAGAGCTAAAACCAAGGTGAAATGGAAAAATTAAAACTGAAAAATTAAAAAACACAACTACATTTTTACAGAATGCAGTGTCACTATTAAAGAAGAGCTAAAACCAAGGTGAAATGGTGAAAAATTCAAATTAAAAAATTAAAATGGAAAAATTAAAACGCACCGCTACATTTTTACAGAATGTAGCGTGTCGCCATTAAAGAGCTAAAACCCAAGGTGAAATTATGAAAAATTAAAATTAAAAAATTAAAATATTAAAACGCACCACTACGTTTTTACAGAATGTAGCGTGTATTAAGGAAGAGCTAAAACCAAGGTGAAATGATGAAAAAGTAAAATTGAAAAATTAAAATTGAAAAATTAAACCACACAACTGCATTTTTACAGAATGTAGCGTGTCACTATTAAAGAAGAGCTAAAAACCAAGGTGAAATTATGAAAAACTAAAATTAAAAAATTAAAATTGAAAAATTAAAACGCACCGCTACATTTTTACAGAATGTAGCGTGTCAGTATTAAAGAAGAGCT